TCATTCTCCCCTCCACTCCCCAGATGAGCGAAAGCGCCTCATTTACTCAGGCTTCAAAGACACTGCCTTTTCTCCCATATGACTCGACTTCCCAGGGGGGGTCTGTCTTTCCCTTTGAATCCCAACCAAACAGGCTTTGATGGCATCTTTGTGTATTACATGAGTCAACCACATTCCGCTGAGGAAATATGCATGCTCTGTTGTACCAGCCATGATTTAAAAATGGGAAAGAAGAACTCAAACTTGGCACCGCTCAAGTCCTCATAAAAGAAACGGATGTTTGTGCACAATTTTGCTGAGTTATGTGGAGCTGAGTGCAAGAAAAGACCTGGCAGACATTAACTCTTCAAAATGTTCTTAATGTTAAAAATAGAGATCTTTGCTGCAATTCAAAACAAATCACATCTACGTTTTTTTCAAAGCTATATCAGAGGGTTTATGCAACTTTTAAAAATTCATAAGTCTTGTTCGTGTTCCTTTGAGGGTTTTCATCACACATAATCCAAGCCAGTGTAAACGTGTTCGGCTGTTGAAATTTCAGACAAATTATGGAAAAACCTCTCTTCTTTGAATTGTGCAGATGAAAACCCTTGTGGTAGTTATTAAAGTTACTTTGTTCGCATAACCACAGAGAATTGGAGTAAATAGCGCAAGATGACCGGGCAAATTTAGGGCCTGGTTCCTTCTTTCTTGTGATTCTCCAGATTAGCTTGTTGGATGTGACATCCCAAGATCTGCTTTGAGTAAAGGTCTATGCTAAGGTGATCATACATCTTCTTTTACCCAAACATGTCCTCTTTTTGGGGGGCTGTCTGGCCTTGTCTGAGGGAGTTTACAGGGTTTTTTATGGAAGTTTTGAGTTTGTGTCGCGTGGACTTAGTGAGTTAGAAGCACATAAAAAACATTCGACCTGACCCAAAAAACTCTCAAAATTTACTACGTGTGACTCTGTGACTCCATCCCTGCATAGTCGTTTGGGGATTCAGAATATGGTCAACGTAGTCTATGCACAGATTCATTTTCTTTCACCTGAAATTGTTGGACTTAATTGTTGTTGTTTGGTTTCATAGAGTGGAGATCAACTGCTTAGTGGAAATTGGTGATCTCCTTTGTTAATGAGTGGCTTCAGTAGACTTTATAACATATGGACGTAGCATCGATGTCGTCGCCAATTTGTTCCACAGATCATAAGAAATGCTGTCTCAACCGTACATTCAATCAACCTATGACAGACAGTTTGCCTGCCTGTCAATCAAGTCAACTGTGCCTCTGATTCGTCGATCTTGTTCTTGTATCCTTAATAACTTCAAAGTGAACGTGATACAGTCAAATTCACCTTCGAAACCACAGTTGTCTCTAGATAATCAGGCCAAAGCCGTTTTAATAACTACGCTGTATTTGTGTTTATTTGCACCAAAAATATTTGGCATTGTGGTTTCTGGTGCTTCTATAGAGCTCTGCTGTAAACTGTGCAAGTCCCAAGAGATCTTTGTCATATTGCCTTTTATTGCATAAAGAAAGAGACGTCAATATTCCCAGCGGGAGGCACATGGTTAGTGTTTTATGGAGTCAATGGCCGGAACATTGTTGTTTAGATATAAAGCTTATCTAAGTGTATCTTCAATCTAGCATTGGTGCTGAAGCAATGTGCCTCATCGACATGCTGTTAAAGCAGAACATTTGACTGGTTGTCTATCCACCAGAGGGAAGAACAGCGGGCGAAAACTCAAACAAGGACATGCTGTTGAGACACATCAGTTTTGAACAATGAACATCAGGCAAGTACACTCTAGGGAGGTTGTGTCTTCTCCTTTTTCCTTTCGGTTTCTATTGCATAAGAAATGCTTTTAGATGACTAACAGAAGGGCTTCATTGATCCTCGCAAGAGATGTTTAAAAATAATCAGAATAATGTGGTGGATTTAAAATCGTCTCACATTAAATATTAATAGAAGACACTGTGGAACAAGAAACTGCATGACTAAGCATTTTATGTGAATGGCTGTTATGTTTTTATTGTGAATTTGAGCTGAAATTGGTTAAAAATTGACCTCATTAAATAATCTGGCTATTTCATAGCAACACTATAAACATAACAAACTGAGGAAAATTGATATGTATGATAGATGAATAGGCATAGAGCCTAGAAGGCTGTTTTCTTTTGGACCACATTGGCATAGCAGCCATTGTTTGGCTCTGTGTGGGAAGTTACAGCGATATGGAGTCTGTGCGAAAAAGGCTTAATGGATGTTATTGACAGACAATTTGTCACCATCAGAGTCCAAATCCACTCCAGCCTCAGTCAGCCAAGGTGTTCCCCAAGGTTCTATGCTCGGACCCTTCGTTTATACCATCTACTTGTGCCCTTTTTGTCATATCATCTGGACTGAACTTGCACTGCTATACCGATGATACTCAGACGTATTTTAGCACCTAACCAGGGACCAAACTCCTGTCACATGAAGAGCATGAAATAAAATTCTGGATAAGTGCAACAGGGGTCATGGTGGCGGCCTCCAAGGTTCTTCTCTAGAATTCTGGAGACATTGCTAGCAGCTCCATCTTTCTCCAGAGGTTTGCAACCTGGATGTAATTCTGTACTCTTCTTCTCTTCAGTCCCACATGATACATCACAAAAAAACCTTTTACCATGTGGGAAACACATCTAGACTCTTGCCACCCCTTCCAGAGACCCTGATCAAGTATTGTAATAGTGTGGTGTATTTACTTAACAGTTCTTGCCTTTACCATGAGATAACCATATCCCAAAATAGCAATGTTCCAATGTACTATCAAATTTCAATTCATAGCCCAGGCTTTAATTTGTTTCAGTAGTGGAGCTGTCCTTGTCCCAGTTTACAAGTATTTTGGGTTTGAACATTGAAGACCTGAGACGTGACTTGACTACAACGAGGGGTTATGTAACAATGAGGACGTCACAGTTAAATGTACCTAGGTCTCATTCTTTTAGACTGGTGATATTTTTAATTTTATATAAATCTTTTTTTATTTCTATTGTTATTCTGATTTTATCAATTTAGCATCATACCACACACAAAAAATGTAAACCTTCTTGGCAATAAAACCAATTAAGATTCTGGTGTATTTTTAATAATATGTTCTGTGAGCGGTCGTGTTGAATGTCTCTTTTTTCCCCTTAAACCAAAAACACTCTCTCTCTTAAAGGTGTCATCTTTGTTTTTTAAAACTTTTCCAGACTCCACACTGGTTTTAACAGACCAAGTATATTTTCTGCTGCAATGACCGTTTTCTCTGAATGGCTCACAGAAACAAATCTACTCTTTTACTTCCTCCAAAATCAACAATGAGTCACCACTCAGCTTTTCTCATGCTAACACCAGAACACTCCCCGGTCAGAGTCTCACCTTCGTTCTCGGCTCTCCTCTGTGCACATACCTGATGAAACATCTGACTTCACAGGCATGAGTCGGCGTTGAGCTCGACTTATCCTCCATAGCTAACACAGATTCTCCCCTGAGAGGGAGGAGGACTCTTCCTCAGTCCACACTCTGAAAAGAAAACAGACAGAAACGGTTTTTACGTCAGCAGCCCTCCGAGTAGAGTAAGCTATTCACCACTTTTAGGGAATCAGACACTGCCTCTCTAAATCCAGACAGGAGACAGAATGATCCAGCACAGTCTGCAGCAACCTCACCAGCATTTTCTCTCTGTTCATTTATAGATTCATTATGTACCTCCCTGCAGACTTTCACTTTCTGTTTCAGCTGAGTGCTCTGATATTGCATGCTTTTTCAAATCCCCTTACATGTACACAAAAACAAATGCATTTTTTATTTTTCATCTTTTATTTGTGTCCACTTTTATGCAAAGCTCTCTGTGACACTCCTATCTGAAGTTCCCTACAAATAAAAACACACTGACTTGAAAAATCTTCTAAACTTTAAGATCAGACGAATTGATCTGCAAAGGTACTCACATTATTTTTCATTACACTTTGAATTTCTACAGAAAATATCACTTGAAAAATAACCATATAGAAGTGAAACTAAGAGATGTTGGAAAAGCTCAGAGTGAGGTATCAGCATGTCGAAAACCTACAGCTAAAGGCTTTCTTACTAATTACCAGGCTGTGACAAAAACTTGAATCTGATTGGCTAAAACTCCATCACAAGGATGGTTTATTCAGAAGAGTGACGCCAGGGACAACCAGATCATGAGTGTGTTTGACTCATTGTGGTAACAACATTAGTTTCTGATGGTATGGATACAGGATTTATAGGTAGCATAGAGGATGTCTTTAGTATAACGATTAATTTGTAGGACAGAAAACTTGAGTTCAGCGATAAACTGCAGACTATTTGACAGAAAGAAGAGAGATACTAAAGTAGCTGAATTAAGAACTGACAGGCGTCAACCTCATTAAAAAAACAGACACAAACCACAACATGTTGAGGGCTCGGTAAAATGTTACAGGACCAACTAAGTGAAAATACAAAAATGCAACCAGAAAAGTTACAGGTAGAGGAACTTATTCATGTCCAGACAGAGAAATAAAATGTTCCAGTCTCGATTTTACTGTGAATGAATGTTAAGTTTAAGGGTAGTTTGGTGAAAAAGTTGGTAAAGTGCTAACAACCTTCAAACCCAAATAAATACAATCATCTGTAGATCAGTTCTGAGGGTCACCACCAGCATGTTTGCATCTTTGGTCTGTCGCCAAATAACAAGCAAGATAATGTATAATGGGCGGTTGGTTAAAACCCATGCAAATATCCAACAGCCTACATAATGTCATCCCTTTTGTAAATGCAGTTCAAAGTGTGACACTTGAGGAGTTTTTTAAAGATCGTTTTGTGGATTCGGTGGTATCTGGCAGCTTTTAAAGGATAATCTTGACATAATGTCACACATGAAGGCGATTAACCAATCTAATTACAAAAACACAAACTACGAGTTTTTGAAAAATATACTTTTGCATGTTTTATTCTTAAAGGAATTGCATTATACTTCATGCTATCATACAGTTTGGGGGTTGTATTGATACTTTTGCATTGTAGAATTTCTGAAAACAAATTATTACTTAAAGCTCCTGTGACAAGTTTTCAGTTGGTTATGACAAAGACTTGAATTTATACAGATGTCTCTTTATGATCTCAAAGAAGAAACAAAAACTTCCAAAAACATGATATATGATCTCCATGTAGTCATGTCATATTTTTGAAACCACTACCAGGGTGAGTGTTGGACAGATTCACTGATTGCATACTGCCAAAACAGCCCTTTAGTGCAGTTTTTACATACTCGTCATCCTTCACAGCCCTAATTAGTTGTCACATTTAATAATACACACATTTTAGAGTCACTGAGGAGTAGACAGACAAAACTAACCCACCCAAAAGTGTGCTTTGGCATGATTTAAATAGACTGCTTTAAAAATAAGTTAAATATGGCCTCCCAGTCTCCATTTACACGACACACTCAAACTCTGACAGAGGCAGAGCCGCACGCAGTGAGCAACTTGGGGTTCAGTGTCTTTCTCAAGGACACTTTGACAAGTGGAACTGCCAATCCTGCAATTAATGGGAACCCTCTCCACCTCCTGAGCCGCAGCTGTCCCAGGGATGACAAGTTTAGGATTTCTTGTTCCTCTTTTGCTACTTAGCTCCTCCATAAAAAAGTCCACTGCTCCACTTTGAGCAAAGGCGCCCCAAAAACTCAGATCTGGGCTTTATCCACTTACAACTACTGGCAGATAATGACTGTCCAAGAAGCAAAACTTCTACTCTAGACATAGCCATTTTGGACACGTTTAACCACTTTGAATCAAAGATGCTGTCAAACTTCATCTCAGTTTGATGTTATTCTTTAAGAGAGTTCAAGAAACAGGCATCTGCATTCACCAATATGAAGAGAAACCAACAGGCTCTTTTGGAGCTCTGTTCAGAATTCTCCTTCCGCACAGATTATAGGTCAGACCTTTCCCCAAAAGCTTAATGCAGCATCACAAACAGATTCAAGACTCAGATGCAACACAGCAGTTTATACAGAATGGCATGATCCTGCAAGCAGTCTTGACCTTTCTTATGCAGAGGATAAGAGGTTTGAAAATGAGTTTTAAAGGGCTGTTTTCTAAGAGACTCATAATGGACCTGAGATAAAAATAACTAAGCCATGATAGCTATAATATAGAACTTTACTGTTTTCATGACAAGCTGTTTAAATGACCCTCAAAATGTAAGTCCACCGTGGCGCATACAGCAGAGCACGTTTTTGTCAAACTTTTACATCAGGTTTTCTTGAAACCCCGTCAGTGTCTGTGGAGTTGGTGAAAACAAAAAGATTACTCTAACTTGCAGAAAAAGTGGATTTCCCTAGGATCACAGAAAAAGTACAAAAAAGCAGTGTTGAAAAATGTAAACAATGACATCTGCAGTTCCTTGAGTGTCCACTGGGGGCTCGCTGCTACAGCCAAGAAAACCCCATGAAGTGCCATGTTAAAATAATAATTTATACAGCAGAAACAGACATGCTTCACATCTTTGCCTGTTTGCACGCTGATTGAAAGTTGAGTTGAATCACCTCAGTGACTAATAAGTGACTTTTTTCCCCTCTTTTTAGTTGTAAATGAAGGCTCCAAGTAGTATAAAAGCTAGAACACACCTACATATATTTTTTTGGATGTGGATGAAATTATTTACTTGCCTATTTCACATTTTAACACCTGAATAGTTTGTATCTGTTTGCTTAATTTGTGTGAGTAATGCGCTCCATTTGCCTGCATAATTGTGCCCACGTGAGCATCCAAACACGCAGATTCATGCAAGAGACGAGGGGTTACCTGCACACCGTTTCAGTTTGTTTTTATCAGACATAATTTAGGTTGACTAGGCTATGAGGATTTGTTGTGTTTTCACACCTTACCAGAAAGTCTGATCTCCTCACTCACTTTACTCTAAGCAATTAAATTCCTGTGTCTATTAAGTCTATTATGATTCGCTATCACGCTGCTGGTGACCCTGGCGTGTTCAACCTGCAGCCAATGACAACACTAATGTTAAGTGATGCATGCAAATCGCTGCAAATTACCTGTGGGTATATATTTGCTAACTTCAGACCTTCATGTTGCTCCTAAATAACATCCAAAGTCTCTCAGATTTGTACTGAACATTTGGCATCTACAAAGAATCTGACCTTGTGTCTTTCTTTATTACGACTGTCATTTCCCCCCCTTGTCAGCTGACTTTGCAGTCTGCTCAGTCCCTAGTGAAGTTTGGACATCTTCAGCAATTTAAGTTAAGGGGAGTCCCTTCTTTCTCATACCCTCGGGCCGTGTTGTCTGTCAGCGGGCACATCAGAGCTGTCACTCAGGAGGCGCACCAGAGCATGAACTCTAAAGACATCAAATACGTCACAGTTCTCCTGCTGACAACTGAAGGTCCTCTAAGTTGCTGCACAACCACGGTTAAAAGAGTTCAATTTTGTTGCTGCTTCAACTTTGTTTTCCAATTTTTTATATTTATTTTCTCTTGCGGCACAAGATCAACTCAAAACACACCCTGTACTTGGTTTATAACTCTTTTCAGTTCATAAGTAGAGCAATAGTTTTATATTTAATGTGAGATATTTAAATTAATCACTGGCTGGCCTTTCTGTATGAGTGCAAACTGCACCGGGCAGAGGCACATCCAAAACTATTTCAGTTGTCAGTAGTTAAACGCATGTTACGATCAACAGTTTGGAATAAGTTTCGAAAGCTGCAAGTGGCTGTCTTTAAATTTAAATATAGTACTTTATATTCTTGGTAATTTAATTGATAATACATTTTTTATTAAAAACGAGCTAAAGAGAGAATATTTTTTTCTTTTTGTCTTGAAAATATGTTTTGAAATATTGACTTCTGGTCCATCTCACCTGAGGCAAGACGGCAAAGTTGTCAGTCAAAACCCATAACCTTAGTATATTGAAAAAAAAGCTTTACCAAAAAGTTCTCCACCAGTCAGTGTGTGGGGATAGAAAAATATGAATTATGTCGATCAAAAGTGCTTTTGAACCGTTTTGGACATTTATTCTTGATGTAAAGATTGGCTGTTTTGAATGAGTGCGTATGTGAAATCTGGCACTTTCGCAGACAGCCTCAAGTGGTCATTGGAGGAACTGCAGTTTTGACCACCAAATACAAAAAAGAGGACAACAGAGAAAAGTAAAATACAGAAGGAGAGTGGTTTATGTGTGATACTGATCCCTCTGTATTACTTGTCAAGGTAAACAAAAGACAAAAAGGTAAGGTATTATTTTCTCTTCATCCATAGGGCTTTTTCCAGGTGTGATCAATGACTGCATTTTGGAAAGTTTTTCAAACAAATCTATGAAAGAAATCTCTTGGTTGTATGTTTTGCTGTACTTTCAGGCAATCTAATCAGTGTGCCTTTCATAAAATGATTTAGGGGCCACCCTTTCTTTTTATACGGCCTCCTTCTGGCTCCAGGTAAGCAGCCAAACTGTCACTCAAACATTCAGTGGGTGACATCCTGGTTACTCTGCTCCTATTTATGCAGTCTATAGGGATAACGTCCTCTTTTTTTTCTCCCTGCTTGCAATTGATGGTTTTTCCTCTGCGTGCTCTCCATTTCCTCGATCGTCCCTGATAATAACGTCTGTTCTCTCTGCCTCTACCTTCTGCATCACCTTCTCAATCTCCTATCCATTATTGATGTTGTTCCCTTCTGCTATCATTTGCAGGGCTTGTGCCTAAACCCCGCCCTTCCCTATTATTGTCACAAACAGTTCCAGTTCACAGCCTGTTGTATTTAAGTATTCCGGCCAGAACCACAAACAATTTCAAGGCACACATCAAGGTGGAGATGAGGCTCTGTGATGGTTATTCAGTGTGAAATTCCCGACGGTATCCTCCTCCACAAGGACAGCATTATCTCCATGTAAGCTTCATCACTGCAAAATGGAGTTCAATGGAAATGTGTGGATGTGTGTGTGTGTGTGACAATGTTTACTAAGTTCAATCCTCCAAAAGGGTTCAACTCTTCCCAAAGGCAGCACGAGCCTCCTCACGGTGACTCCAATGCAGGTTTAGTGGGGCTGTGATATAGGTTCGATAACACAATCAGTTATTTTCTCCTCATCAAGCTGAGGAGAACATTTCATCTCCCTCCCTTCGCTCTAATTCGCTGCCAGTTTCAATTAAGACTCATAATTACTTTTCTCCTTGCCTGCTAAAATGACTCAGTTCATGTTGATAAAAGATGACACTTGCAGTTGCCGAGAATTTCTATTAAATACACTCCAGATCTCATTTATTGTTTGACACTTGAGGATGAAAACATAAAGACAACTTTAAATACTGTCACATCCATGGATTGCATTAATTTCTCTTATTAGCCAGCTTTTTTTTTACTAATCAATTAAATACAAGATTCTGATTGGTTAAAACCCCTTTGCAACACGCTGACAATGATAATGAACTCTGCGTTGAAAGAGTAACACCAGACACAACCAGATCACACCCATACGGAAGGGGATTAGGGCCACTGGAAAGACAAAAAACTAACAAACAAAAACAAAGGTACGATATAATTTTTTAAAATTATTTTTCTAAAATTACAGAAGCCCAAGATTTCTGAGATTTAAGTTTGTTTAAGTTTGTAAATATTGTTTGTATATATATATATATATATATATATATATATATATACATACATACATACATATATACAGTTTTGATGATGATTTTAGAAGACACACCAAACAGAGAACGTCACTTTTGATTGTACAAAAGGTGTAAATTTTCTTGAGTTTCTCCTGCGACAACTTAGAATAATCATAGCATCTGTTTAAGACAAAGATTCAGTCAGAAAAACAGCTGGAAACTCAACATTTCTGGAGCACTAGATAAAGCACAGAGAGGTTTCCAGCCCTTGTTTTTCTAAGAGGCCCTTGGCTCTGAGTCACCACGGTCTGAACTCTCTCCTCTCGGTGGGAGACAGCAGCTACGGGAACAGTGCAAACAGGGTGCTTCCACACTGATGAAGCCTTTCAGAAGAGGTACAGAATGAGTGAACACTTATTACCAGACAACTCACTGCATGGTAGTAAAGAAGTGCACTGGTGTCTCTGGAGATCCAGCTCAATGTGCTAGAATATTAAGCCTGAAAATAGCTTATATGAAGGTGTTTTGCAGAAGAGGAATGAAGGAAAAAGTTCACCTTATTTTATTATGCATCAGTTATACTCGTAATAGCACAAGGCAGGGTAAGAGTAAGGGTAAGGGTTGGTGTTAAAGTCTAAAATCAAATGTTTAAGCCAAGTATTCTGCCAGAGTTAGGATGTCTGTTTGCTCCAAAGCAGCAAATTTCATCTCATAGCCTCAAATTAAGTATTTAACTGAACACAAGGTTGCCAGATTCCCAAAAGAGTCTCCTAGAAGCCACAGCTTCTGGCCAAAGAAACAAGACTCTGTTTTTCCTGTATCTGCATCAATATCTGCATCTTACCTGTATCATAACAATAAAAAATAGCATATGCAAAGTTATGCTACTTCTCAGTCTAATTAAGACCCCCATTTGGATGCTCTTTTTGGTAAATCCTTGAACAGATTTATCTGACTGCATTTTTCTGGTGTGTCCGGTGCATATCTAATGGTATGTGGGCTTTGACAGCAGCTGATTAAAATATGCCTGTCGATGCTCTGTTTTTACATATAGGAGAACGAAACTATAAATAGTTACCTAAGGTTGTTGTGAGAAATTGTTTTCTCTTTCCCCACAGGTCCGTCTGTGACAGTTTTCAAACTCTGAGCACAAACTAAGGTCATTAAAAAAAGTGCTCCTTTTGCTCTAAGCTTGGAGGCAGAAACAAGCAGCATCTCTGTAGAAAGATGAACTTTTTTTTTCCCTTAGCAGTTCGATCAGTTCCTCACAAAAAGTTCCAGATTTATAAGTTCATCTGTCTGTATTCTCTCTTCTTTCGTGATCACCCTCCAGAGGGAGCTCAATCTGCAAGAACTTGACCTGGTAACAAGAGGGTTACAGAATCCAGTCCTGCTAAATACCTAGTCTAAAATTTGACTGGAGAGGTGCCAGTTCACTCTATTGGCGCTGCTGAAGTGCAAGATACCAAACCCCGAACTGCTCGGGGCGCTCATTAATGCGCAGTCCTCTGACACTTTGTTAATGAATATCCAAAAGGTCCCTGTATCTGCACGTGTGAGTGTATTAAGGCCCATTTCCGTTAAGTGGTCAGACACAGCGAGGTTTGGCATGGGGCACATTTGTTTCCAGAGTCAGCAGTTGTGAGAGGTACCCAAATACTGTCCTACTTTTTTGGCACCTTTCTGTAGAGGGACTAAACAAGCATTTCCATCCCCAAAGGGTCGAGCTAGACACACTACAATCCATTTATTGAGAGTGAAGAGGGAAGGAGAGGTACAAGAAGAAATTAAGGTAAATACAGTTCCCTTACTATGATACATTATGTTCAAAATTTGATGTAAAATTAGTTAGACATGGATAGAAATGAAAAATGGTTAATGTTTAAATATACTGACATCATTATCATGGCTACTTAATGATTTAAGCGCTTTTTGAAACCAATAATGGGTCGTTTCTCTTATTTGGAGGAAAGACAGCAGGACAATATGTTTTAAAGAGGACTAGCATTGCTACTCCTACACAAGTTACTATAAATGTACAAATTCAGCTGATGTTACCCTTTACTCAAAGCATTTAACAAGAAATAGTAAAAATAAATCAGTATCAACAATTGTATCCCCATAAAAAAGAAAATAAGTGGATATGAGTTGACAAGAGCTTGTGTCAGGAAGTTTAATTACAGATTTTTGGCTGAAACCAAATTTTCTTTTTTTCTGGACATGACAATTGAACATATCATGGTAAGGTATTATTTACTTCCTCTTAATTCTCGTTTTACCGACCGGACCTTGAACACCCCACAACATAAAGTTTGTCACCTCCGTTAGTTAGCTGACTAGCTTTTATCCTGCTGGTTTCAACGCGGATTCCAACACTGGATTATGATTTTTAACCAACTGGATTTGGTCTAAATCTGTCTGCGTTTACATTGTGTGGAGGAGGAGGAAGATGGCGACCACACAGGAGCAGCAGCAGCAGCCGGAGTTGACAGAGTCGTTACAGGCCCCAGACAGGTAGACCAACGCATTTTGTCTCAATATTTCGCTCACTGCTGATATGCTTTGCCTTGGAAATTGTTTTGCGACATAAATAGCCTCTCACTACATCTGTATCTTTAAGTTTGCTGAGATGTAGCCACGATTTTTACCTCAATTTGGTGAATCCATGGTTGCAGCTGACGTCTCTTTCCGGTCACCTGTTGGTTCATTTCTTTTGTGTGAAAACTTTGGTCGAGTTTGTCGATGTGAGCGTTAAAGCAGAACCTTTAAGCTTGTTATCAGGTTGATTTGGAACCTTTAGGATTTAAAAAAAATGCAGAATCGAGTTTTTGACAGAACCCATCTCAATTCCCATTCCTTGAAACTAGTGTGGCATAGGGGAGAGTGGGGTAAGTTGAGCCACCCCCTGTTGCTTGGAAATGGTAAAAGAAATTGATCATGTGACCAAATATTTAGGAGATGGGCATCAATTCATGGAGTCTGTGGAGGTTAGAGGCACATTTATTTCAAAAAAAAAAAAAAAAAACCCCAAACATTTTCCACTCTTGAAAGGGAATTTAGTCTGTCATAAGTTTTATTAGAATTGTGTTCAGACCAAAAAAGATAATTTTATATGAAAAATGGCTTATCTTACCCCACTCTCCCTTATTTGTGCAACAATTATTGTATGCAGTTGTTTAATCTTTTCCCCTCCTTTAGGCCCACGTTACAGTGATATTGTCTATTTCAGATAAATTGTTGAAACAGAGTGAAGTTTGAAGTTTTGTTTACCTATTTTAATTGCACACTTAATGTTTGTTGTTTTCTGAAAAAATGAGTTGATTAAAATAGTAGCAACATAAGATGACACCTGAGCTTGGAAATTGTGATACTCACTTTGAAACAATTAACTTCTATGAAATGTCATTTAAGGTCAGAATTGTTTTCTTAAGTTCTGTAGCGGTTTGTTGCTATTTTCTTGTTTTGATTTTACCTCAAAGAGCTGTTGGTCAAGATTTATAGAGCCCCACTTTATATCGGTTGCTTAAATGCTGGCTGTGAATCAGACTGTGACATATGGAAAAGCACTTCAAGCTATGTTGAAAGATTCGTAGCGAAACTCAAAAATATAACGTGCCCTTTTCCAAAGACCCCTTCACAAGCCATCTTGCAGCATCTGTAGAAAGCGATGAGTGAGAAAGGTCTTTTTTTGTTGATATGGATCACGGTGGATCCTCCTCTCCTCGGGGGCAGAGTTGCCACAGGCCTGGGTGACTCATTAATCTGTTAGATTGGAACAGTCAGAACATTCGAAAGCCATGTCCTCTTCCTCCGCAGTGTGATTCCTTTGATGAAACAGCTTCTTGGGATCCAAAGGGTGCAAGAGAGGCTATAACTTATATTTTCAATTACAAGGATATTCCATTTTACAAGTTGCACATTGCATGATGCATCTATCTCTGCTATTTGCATGACTGTCCGTTTGCATTTGTCACAATCAGACCGAAGTCTAAAGGGAGACCGAGGTTGGCTACGTGCACACATTAGATTTGTCGCCTGTTAGTCAGCCTTTCACTGGGAATATTCAGCTGCACAGATTGCAGAAATATATTTCTTAAAGCTGTTTTGTGGACTTTTTATGACATATTCCCTCAATATTTGCCGCCTTTTATGGCCAAAAATGCTGCTGCTGGAATAAGCGGTTCAGTCCTTGTCACATCCCTTCATTCCTCGCAAGAATTTTTTGATGACTTTTTAGAAAATAGAGGCTTATCGCCGGGAAAAAAAAAGAAGTTAGAGATGAGAGAGCAGCTCCAGCACTCCGTCAAATGGTGTGATCCTTGTCCCTGAAAGCCTGAAAATCCTGCCTTATACGAGTCCAGTGGAGTCCAAACTCGAGTTTACAATCTCAGTGTTTGGCCTTCACTTATCTTTTGGTAGTTCTTGTCAGATTGTTCTGTCTGCTAAAGATGCTGTGTTTATATTTTATGATTAGAACAAGTTAAAAGCAAGGGGAGTTCATGATATTGCATGTTTTGGCAACAAGACAATTCAAAGTGCTCTAAATAAGAATCATTTCAAAGGTCAAACAGAGTAAAAGAAAATATTTGAGAATTTAAAGAGGGCATTGAAAAGGTTAATTAGAATAATTTGCTGCTTTTTTAAGGTAATGTAAAATAATAGGCATTAATAATTAAAGCAAGAAAAAACTTTAACAGCAAAATAGAAGGTTAAATACATTGAAAATTATTGACTTTCGGTCAACCTGACTTTTTGGTCTTCACAAGGACTCAAGCTGCAGCCATCTGATCATTTTTTAGGCTGACCTCTAAAGAAAGGAGGACTTTGTAATTTTTCTTGTGCTGTTTTTAAAATTCAGGTCTAAGTCTGTTACTGCGCCAAGGTTTCAGGCTTGATCAGTTGTTTTCGACTGCAATGTCTGCAGCTGCTCACTGACTTTTAATCAGTCCTTTAGGCTGCAGAAACAACTACATCAGATCTATCCTTTTTCAGTGAAAGAAAATTTTTGCATATGCACTCGCAGATTTGTTAAAAGCACTTACTCAGGACCTGTATGGGGTCCATATGGTGACACTTTTATGAGTCATTTGCATAGTTATGGTGACTTGTTATTTCATTTTTTTCTGTAATCTATGCCAGTGGAAGCACGCAAATATTAGAATCAGAATCATTTATTAATTGCCACACAATGGAGTTGATGGAATTTGTTTTTTGGTACAGCACATCATGCTCACATCTCCTGTGTCAGATACAGAAACAAAAGAGGACCCTACATGTAATTGCTGTCTGTTCAGATGTAAATTTATCTATGGACACCTCTGTCCCTTAGGTAAGATTTAAACCAGGCAGGTACTGTGCCATAAAGTCCAGCCCAGTTCTCTGGTCAGTCATCAGTATGATGGTCAATTTCCACTGGGATGAAGATTGAAATTCTGATCTGTCTGTATTTGGGATGCGATCAAAGACTCAACTAAGAGGTATCAATCAGTTGTTAAGCGTCAGTACATTATTTAACTATCAAAAAACTTCTTTTTCTGTTATTTTAATCGGTTATAATACTTAACCTTGTCACATCTTCTGGATAAATTTGTAAGTTTTGATCATATTTTATGATAACTTCTCCCGGCAAGTATATTTAATAAGTAGATAACTCTGTAGAAACTCCATGGGGGTTACCACAGGCCATACACTATGGCAGGTCTGAAAACTACCTTATTGATTGGTCTTGGCTTTGGGCCATCTGGGCCAGTCAGCTAGAAGTGAACCCACAGCACAAACAGCAACCATCTCATATTCCTCTCAAGTGTCTTTGTCTGCTGAGATGGATAACCCCGATTTGCATTTTTCCACCATCCAGGGTAGAGATGCGGGCCAAAGAGTCATACATAATGCTGGAAATGAGCAGATGATGTCCAGTATGTCGGGAGGACTGCCAGTTTGGCTTCTTTGAGCTCCTGCCCTGAGTATCGACTTCATGAGCACCTCCAACTTTTCTTCTGCAGTTTTGTTTACTTGAACTCTGGACACAAACACGCATTAAGTTTTGTATTTTAACATAAACCAGCCTCTGCTGCTTGTAAACTAGCAAACAGGTCAAACTTTTTAGTTTTTCCTCTGCTGGCATAGAGCTAAAGGTGTGAGAAGAAGTACATCTACTTTGTTAATCTGTTTGAAAAGAGTTTTCAGTAGCTGCCCTCTACTTGACTAACATTTTTCGGACAACTTTTTGCTTTTACCCCCTACATTTTAACTCCAAGATCTGCACTTTCAAGCACTAAAATCTTTTGATAAGTGGTTTCCAACCTTTTCAGCTTAATATTTCAGATCTGTGGCAATAAACAAACAAATAAAACTTTTGGCTTAAATTGTTTAATTTTCAATCGTGAACAGGTCTGTGTACTTTTTTGAAAGTAATTATTCATTGTAGACCAAATTTAAGCTATTTCTTTAATGTAATTGTGCTAAATTGGTTTGATAGCATAGAAAAGCAAAGAGTTTTATTTTTCAGGGAAAGATATTTCTCACCGGGTGAGTTAACAGCAAAATCCGGGCTGGGCGATATGGCCTCAAATCAATATCAATAATGAGCAGTTCACCTTGATAACGATAAATTGACAATAACTACTCCACAAGCTGCTCACCCCCTCCCACATTAACTTTGTCATCTTCAGCCGCCGCTCCAGCATCTACGGAGTCACGTCTCTGATGTAGGACAGCTTCTTAAAGGGACATGAGACCATAGCCTACTTACACACATCCAAAACCAACTTTTATTTATTAATTTTCTGACACCGAATATACCAATATGGGCAAAATGACATCAGTTATTGTTGTAAATTTCGGTATCAGTAAATTTTTCGGTTTATCATTCAGCCCTACACCAAATAAATGCTGGCACATGCAGAACTGTGGAACAGACCATGTAAGACACACGGCAAAGTTGCTTCAGTTTGAGGGATTGTCACATCTTGTATACATTTTTTTATCTCTCTCAACTCATCAGTTGTAATATGACTCATGGACTTTACAGCTTGTTGCAACCTTTCAAACTCTAGTGGTGTAGTTGACCGAGCACTTCAGAGCACTGAGTCCGTCTTTGCATAACTGTGCACATCCAAAAGGAACCAACAGTTTTCACTGTGAGATCTCTAGGTGCAAATGTTGTTAATATTGAGTGGAGTGTGGTGTTAGCATCCAGGGCTTTTATTAAAAGGATATTTCACCACTTTTGCAGTAAGTTTGAACGAGTTACGTGGCAATTATAAGCGTATTAGCCACAATGGATGCCGGTGAGTTCTGTCCCCAGAAGGGTTGGGGTCTCCTGGTTGCAGAGAACTGTCAGCCTGAAACTGTGTTTTCATTAGTAAGAGAAAACACATTTCTTATTGATCATTTTTATTTCTTAGTCTTCCTCAGAAGGATGTTTAATGTGCTGAATGGTGGAATCTTGGGGACTGTGTAAATATGAAATGATTTATAAATCAGTATTGGGTCACATGTAACCTATTTGCTATACACAATCCCTGACATAATGCATGCAAAAGACAACCCTGAGGTGTGTATAAGTTTATACCACACTCATTATTATTATGTAACAAGATAAAGACAACAAAAAAACACATCAAGTATTCACAGCTTTCTCAATATAGCGAGTTTTGCACATAAACAGCCTCCAGAGAGATCCTTAAATCATATAAATAGTATATTCAGAGATTGTAGGTTTTCACCTTTGCTCAAGTGCAGAAGTTAAATCAATAACTCTACTCTTACCAAGTCTTTAAAGAAGTCTGTGAGAGTTCTCTGTGAGACTCTCTGTTCCTCTTTAAAAAGAGAACGAAGACGCCCGTCAGTTTCTTACAGTGTCCCATTATGGCCAAAGCCCAGTTGAATTTCAGACAGCATGACATAACAGAACATTTGGGAGACTTGCAGGAATGTTGGAGTCTGACTGAGCAGCAGCTACATGAGATGGAGATTTCCTGGCTGGGCTCTGACCCTTGGTATTAAGCTAGTGGATAAAGGTGGAGAGAGCGACAAGCTGCCCTTCTAGGTGCTGGATGTGTGGCGAGAGGCTGCTGAACCATGGTGCTCGGATCAGCCATTTCCTCCTCTGTATATGCTGAAATCTGTCATCCAGCTCGGCGGTGTCACTCAGCCCTGAGCTTTGTGCCTCTCCCGGGTGCTTTTAGGTTTGATGGCTTCTGTACGCATGTGACATCGGCTCAGGAAGGAAGAGAAGGCTGAGGTTGACGATATTTCAAGAGCGTTGGCTAATAAAAGCAGGAGAGGGAAATCACAACCCTTGATTAAATCACCAGGCTGCAACTAGAAGACGCACAGATTGTGTTGCATAATATTTGAGTGTTAAACTCCGCTTACTCTGATGCTTAGCTGGGGTACAAAGAGGCATACAGTTAAGTCAGATTAAGTCAGAATACACTGGAAAGTGTGCCTCTTACTTATTCTTAGATGCAAGAGATCCTGAAAAGAGAAACAAGGCATGACAACTTATATTTTAAATCAAGAGATAATTCATGGTTACATAACCTGTCCTAGGAGAATCGGGTCATATTACATAAGTTACCACTGCAAATTGTTATTGCCTTTGCCAAATGAAGCAACATGGTGTGCTTTTATCTGGTGTCCAAAAGAGTTAATTAAAAACTGCTTCATATCCGCAGCCTGGACGTCTTCTTTTGGACAGTGGTTAGCTGTCTGACAGCTTGTAGTGTGTAATCTCACATGTAATATATTTGATCTATTGCAGGAGGGTGTAATGAATTTTAGATGATCAAATAGGAATACAGAGTGGCCGTGTCTCAGTAGGGATGAGGTTGAAAGGCCTGTTGAAATGCACAGTGGTATGCTGCGTGCAGACAGAGCAGGCTGGAGTTGTGCAGCGTGTATACGTATGCTATTGACTTTCAAAATAAGAGCAGCTGAGGGCAAATCCTGAATCTCACTTCAAAAGCAGCGTCTCCTCTTGAATATTGCATGTATTTCACTGTTTGTGGAGACGTCATGGGTGAGTATCTGTGTCTTACAAAGAAAAGACAACACTTTTTCAACATATTCACAAACAGAAGCTGTGGGAAGCATTTCAGTAGGCTACTGATGGACTGCAATGGTAAATAGTAGAACAATACCACCGATATTTATTATTTATAGTGCAGTCAAAAACAATCTTTGCAGTAAAACGGAACAAATGAGTCAAAACATCATAGTCAAAGAAGCATTTACAAGTACAAAAATTCTGACTGTGCTTTGTAAACAGCAACATGCAACCGCTGTTAGCTAGCAGCTGCCTGCCAGCTGCAGCAAACATCAGTCACAGCACACAGATCAGAGACGAGTTGTGTCCGATTTCCATTTTCAGTCCGTCTCCACTCCTTGCTCCCTCGCCTGTCAACACTTAGCAGCTGCATTTTCAGAGCCAAGGATGCAGCAGCACTGCCAGATAGCCGGGGTCATGAGACTGAGGATTTCCCGCTGTAATTACAGATCAGTGGTTTTACACCTCTGTGATAAGCTTCTTCTCATCCACGCTGTTGTCAGCGGCCTCTGAAAGCCTCTCACCTGTTGACCTCAAGCCTGGATCAGCTTAATATGAGAGTTAGTTGATAACTGGGATCAACATGGGCCGTTTTATTCTGAAAATTAGGAGGAAGTTTTACTCTTGTTTCGGTGTCTCTACCTGAATGCAGTTCAGATCTAACTATGTTAAATCTATGACGCAGCTTTATCAGCTTATGCTGGGCTTACATTGCAAGACTTTCCATGAAAATTACAAGTCCAAAGTTGGAATAAGGTCATGAAGTTGTACTCTATAAGTGAAGTATTATTGTAGGTTGTTGGTGTCAGTCTTTTTTACAATCTTCTAGTGTATTTTAGCCGTTAACTAACTCTGTAGAAACCCTTCAGTGTCCAGCAGATCACGCTAAGATTCATGTCTAAAAAAAAACTGCAAAATGCTAATGTGCCTGTGCAAAAAAAAAAAATGAACTGAACTGAACATAGCAAACATCCCCCAGAGCCTCAAACTCAGTCAGTCAGGACTCAACCAGAATAACAGTGGATTAAAGTAAATAGACTGGGCATGTTGGCTTCTTTAAACGGTCTCAGTGGGGAGTGCAATCTGGGAATTTCAGGAACTGGAATCGTGTTAAATCAGAAAAATTGAGGTTTTATTCTCTTGGATTGGGTGCAGTATGCTCCTGTACTTTCTGAAGTTTTACACAATTTAATTCATTTAATACATACATTTAATCACAGTGTTATTGGGCCAAGTTTTTACAGGGGATGCTTAGTATCAAACTCCACTGCAATCTCCCATCAGCACATCTCTCTCTCTCTCTCTTTCGCTCTCTCTCTCTCCCCCATCTGCTGCTTACGTCCCTACAAGTGAAGAATACTAGTGCATTAAAGATTTTTCACAGCAGCCCAAAGCCGACGTCAAATAAATCATTACCTCATTTCACAGGGAGCAAAAACAGATCCCCACATTTGCAAAAGAGGTGGTTTATCCATTTCAATGTGATAGAGAAGAGTAACAGCCCATGTTCAGCAACTGGCACCCTCACTATCATCTGCCTTCCTGTTCATTCATAAACCTGCCAAAGCATCAATTTAATGGCTCCAGGTATTCCACTGTGTCATTCAGACGTTATATATTACCTATATATTTCAAAATACTTGGTAACAAGTCTGCAGCATATGCCATTCTCATACACTTTAAGTATTGTTTTGATGGAGGTGTTGATGTGGAGGTAATTTGTTGTTGGAGAGGAGATTAGACTCCGCCATTTGACAGACGAATCAGTGTGGACTCAGGACAACCTCCTTCCCTCCTGCACCATCTTCCCACACCGAACCATCTTCATTTTTAGTATTTACCATCTATCATCAGTCTGTCTATGGATTCCCGACAAGTCCATTAAGCAAGAGACACCTTAATGGCTCTCTGCTGATGATGGAGAATCCCTTGTCTGATGAGAAAGGTGAAAAAGACTAAAAGTGTAACATCACTTTGACCTTTGGGTCTATATTCAGTCACGGAGATGGGTGAACGAGGTGGACCGGAGGCATCACTCTCCCCATCCCTGAACTGTCAGAGAGTGAGTGACTGAAGATTTAACAAGTAGAGGGTTGTCCTGCTTCTTTTAAATAGTCCTGGTAATGCTGTGGACAGTGGAAATACCCCCTGTCATGTCGTCCACTGGTTTTTAAAGCCTCAAGTTAGGCTGTATTATTTATGTTGGAACCAGCAGTCACCATA